CTGCGAACATTTAGTGCATGTCACACCGAGATCTACTCTCTTAGGTTCCACCCATTAAAGGAACGGTAGCACGAGCGGAGCTCCATTGCATAGACAAGAAGCGCTCTAAGTGGTGGCAAACTTACCAATAGGCTTCAGCAAACAGCAACCACATAAGCTATTGAGCGGTTAGAAATAAATGTAAGCAACGTCTTAAGACCCTTCGTCTTCTGTCCGAGAAGCATTTGACTGACGTAGCCGCTAAAAAGCCAAAGTTCTTTGCTTACATAAAGTGATCCAGCGGTACAAATTCTTCTATACTGGCTTTACTAAGAGCGGACGGGACCCGTGCGCATAGCGACAAGGATATGGCTTGCCAATTTAGCAAACAGTATACTGGTGTCAATTCGCGTAAGGCTAAGCTAACTGTGGTTAAGCTAGTCACAAATGTCCCTTAGGATTCTTGCATAACTACAAGCAGCGTAACGGAGCCACAAGTCTTTGAGCTTTTGAAAGCGCTAAATCCTTCCAAAGCTCCTGGCCCTGCTTCAATACATCCTAACCTAATGCATGAATTAGCCTCTGAGCTGTGACCTTATCATATGCGTGTTTACCATAGCGCTCGACAGCTGTGCCTTACCCTCGGAAAGGAGGAAGCAGGGTTCTTTCCGCTTCTTATGGGAGACGACAGCTCTGAACGCCAACTACGGGCTTATCAGCTTGGCAAGCATATTAGTTAACTTGTTTAACTAATGTACACGCGAGGTGGAATTCCAATGTCCACTGTAGATGGAACCTTGCTCCATAACAATTTGTACTGTAGTGTACAAGTGTCCAGCAGGACTCGAAGTACCGCCAATTGCTAAACTCCCATGGAAGAACTGGTTCCAAAGACAAAAAGCGCTACGTGGGTCGCAGCAAACGATAAGAGTCAGGACAGTAACTGGCGTGCCCACAGCAGCGTGTAGTTGGCAAAAGTCAAACTTCGGTTATTCAATAAACAGGTCAACTGGACCTAAACCAGAATAGGCAGCACAAACGTGTTAAAATTGCGTTTTGCAGTGATCGTCGTCCTCTGCTATGCAATCCAACCTACTTGTTTGATGTTCAGGCTGCCGGTCTGAAAAGCAAAGCAAGAAAAGCAACTCTGGGTTCGTGGGGCTGGCAAAATAGGACCATCCCGGGACTGTTCCATTTTCAGCGAGTCCCAGAATTAGGAGATGGCTGTCTTTGAAGCCAGCATCACGACCTGTCCAACCACTTACTACTCACGTATTCCGCCCTAGCAGCCCCTGCTGGGCCGGTTAAGTAAATTTGGAAAGAGAACATAGTGATGTCAGAAGGCAAGAAGCGAAAGGAAATGGAGCGAAACAAGTAGAACACAAAAGCATTTGCTTCATACAAAAAGAACTGCAAACGCAAAGCGTGTCAGTTAGGAAAAGTAAAGGTTTGGTGTTACCACACATTATCGCGAAACTTTTGACCGGAATTTCCTTAGCCACATGATCTAGAAGCGAATTCCAGCAATCTATAACGATGCGACAGACGACTTTCCGTTTTTATCCTATCAGACTGGGGTTTATGCAGCTTCAGTGGGTGACTGCGGAAATTAGGTAACTTGGTGAGACTGAATAGCGCGGACAAGTCCAGACCAATCTTATCGGACAAAATGGGATACTTGATGCTCAAACGCTTTCTTTTCCTTCGGCAGTGTATGGTGTAGCACCAAACTATGCAAGCTTTCAGGATATGTCTGTCCTCGTAGCCACTGCACTAACCCTGAGCTCACTTGTAACACCATTGTCGTCCATTTAGTCTCGGATAAGACAAGGTGGACAAGCCTGGATCCAATATTCCAGGTGGGCTCGGACGAAGGCATAAAATAGCTTCACAATCAAGCTAGCCGTTAAGACTTCAAACTACCAGTGGATAAACAAGGTCCTACGAAAACTTCGACAAGCAGCCTTCTTCCGATTGTCAACAGAATAAAGAGCTGATGAGTGTACGAACCCTATAGCGGCCTGCAAAGTGACGACAAGGAGTTTTCCACCGCTACCAACATACCGCTTAAAGGAATAGCAGCTCCGATTCGGAGAACAGAGCCCTTGGCGCTATTTATGGATAGCCACCATAACTTATAAACTTTCTTTCACCTATCCAAAGCATCCTGGATTGCCTCAGGACCCCAGTATACCCACAATATTCCTGAGCTTGAGGTCGTCAGCAAGCGTTTGTTATGACCCTCCTAGTCCTCATGTCAAGTCATTTGCATAGATCGCAAACCACAAAAGCCCCAATAATGAGCTCTGCGGAGCGCTTATAGGGACAGCTTGCTGAGCAAAATGTTACCCTTTCCCTTACGCACCCTGCCCACCCTCTCCAGGCAAGCAGGCACCCACTTAATAACGAGACCAAATATCCCGTATGGTTCCAAATTCGTGAGCCTCTAAGAAGAAAAACAGTGTCAAAATCGTTCGAAACTTCCACGAATATCACGTCTGCAGCATGGCTACCCTCTACCACTTAGGCTCAGTTTTCACGAGCTAAAAGCCCGTTAGACTGACACAAAAGTCCCTTGCGGACTCAATGTTGCGCAGCATTGAGTAGGTTAAGCCATTCAAGTTGCTCATCACCAAAGCCCTTATTAGCTATTAAACCAACTTGACTATAACGCTTATGAAACTGCCAGGTCGGTAGTTCGCGGGCAGAGCGCTGTCGCCCCAGTTAAAAACCGGAGATGATTGCCTTCCTCCATACCGAAAGCCAGCTGTCAATCGATAGTGAAAACCCCATGTGATAGGACCCCTTGGCTCAGCGGCCAAGTCATGCAGTAGCTTTGAATAAATTTGATCAGGACCGGAAGCTGCAGCGGGCTTAATGCCTTACCGTAGCTCGAATACCTGCGTCTCCGTTAGGTTAAACGCAAGCTCCTATGGTCGACAGAATGTGTAGCTACGATCATATCGAGTTTACGCTCCAGTTACTCTACATACTGCACGCATTACCTGCGTCCATGGATGCCGGAAAACGGCTCATGATAACTTTTGTTTGGTCTTATCCGTATGTTTTGGAATTCCACAAATTATGGTCACTTATATGCTGGCCTCCCTGATGATCCTCGGGAAGCAGCATGTCATTTTACCACTATGCCACTGTTTCTGGCGCATGGATAACTTCAGCACAGTCTAGTATCTTTCCCTATATAAACCCAAACTTTATCCGATATACGTTGTCTTCCATTGTCAAAAGCATTATATTTTACTTAACAACTTATCCAATATTCAGTTACTGGAAGGGCCGGTTACTTCTGTGCGGTGGATACAAAAGCTGCTGAACGTCTTTTGGCCACGTCCCTCCCCTGTGACACCGAATACCAGTGTAAGCTCCTCAATGGATTGAACCAATTGTGTGCCTTGCAGGAATCGCAGCCAAAAATCTGTGATGGGATTTATTGCGCATCGTCCAGGACCTCCGTGGGCGTTGTGAACGACACTTATCCGTTGGAGCGAGTAGTGTAACGGCAATCCCTTGCTCCCTTTATCTTCGTTTATAACTGCCCGACCTTCGTCTCGTATCCCACTAAGTATTCACGCCGTATACGAATATAAATAAATAAATTAAATAACTAAACACTTTGTCCTCGACAAAGCGAGGCACGCCTTTTGGGCATGATCAGCATATTGAAATATCTGATCATGCCTCCATTGGCGTGCCTCGCATAGTCGAGAATAAAGTATTTATTTATTTATTTATTTACATGTTAGCAGGATTAGCAACATTAACAGCGGTAATCGTATAGTTAGAGACAGTAGTGTGGGCTCATATAGCCCAAAGATTGTATGAAGTCTACCAACACAGAATGCGCGGTGTAAAGATAATTACCAGATAACTAATGTGACATGTTGATGAGGAACTATTCTGATGAGGTCGCCTACACAGTGTGGGTCAGGTGAGTGAAGCATGAGGAAAAAGCTGCAAAAATGTTTAAGAATAGTGGCATGTCACTAAGCAAATATGTAGGCGTGTTCGCTCGAGAGCAGATATACGCACAGAATTTGTAGATGCGATATCGGTCAGCTTGCCGATGTTTATTAGGGGCGGTGACTTAATTGAGTGGCGAGTCACATCCGCCTGTCGCAGTGTTGTTAAACAGACAATCGTGGCATTTTGTAGGGAAAAAGCTTGCCAGACGAAGACCCACCACTTCCTGGAACACTGCCGGCTGGTGATATGACATTGACAAGATAGCATCTGACCGATTACCCTCGCGGCTATTAGCAGTCACGTAACTTCAATTTGTTTCCCATGGCTGTGTAGTCTCCTTCGGAGTCGAACGCAAGTGGTTGGAGCTGGTGAAGTTGGACGACTCAGGTGACTTGTATTGAGTTGCTTAGTCTTTGGGGTTCCTTAGTTTGTCGGGATTGCGAAGTGTGGGTGATTTCTTTGTTCTGTATTGATTCCTTGTCCATGGGAGCGTCGCAGTTATGTCATCAGCGGTGTTCCGTGCAGGTAATGTTATCCTTTAGAACAATGGAGAGAAGAAAAACGGACCGAGAAAACTGCCAACGAAATTAAACAGGACTATGTTATTGTATAAATATAAACTTTATGGTAAAGTTCTGCTGGTTGAAAGCAATGGGGTGATCGGATATGTTGTGCAGCAAATCCGTATTTTGCGTGCAAGCACTCGCATTTCACGCCCCTGCTGGCCTGCCCCCCCCAACGTCCTCCTCTCGGCCCTCCCTGTCCCGTTAATCCACCGCCCCACTGCCTCTTCCACCCCTTCTCTCTCTCCCCCACGCCATCCCCCCCTCTACCGCCCCCGCGCGTAGGGACAGTGACCCTGCCGGCGTGAGGACACGCTCCCCAATTCCCTCCTATGTGGCGAGAGTTACGCCCGGCTCGTCCCCGTATGCAAGCTCCCCGGGACCCTTTCGTTCAATCCGCAAGGCATCGTGTTGTGCGGTGCCTCATTCCTGTCCACGACTCCTTGAACCTCTTTAGCACGTCTCTTCTACTCTTCACTCTACTCTCTCGGATATAGCGAGTACCGACGGGAGGGGGGTTAGTAGAGAGATTTCTTTCAGGCCCCCCTCCGGGCTCTGTCGCTCAGGGCCCCCCCCGCGCCCTCCCACCCCGCCCACGTGCCACCCCCACCCCCCCCCCCGCAGCCCCCCCCTTCCATCCCCGCCCCCATCGCACCCCCTCCCCCTCCACCCCATCTGGACGAAAGCCGCCCCGGCCCCCTCTCCCGGTCGCATTCCCCGCCCCTCCTGCCGCCGCCCCGCACCCTCTCTCTCGCGGCTTTCCAGTCTGCCCACTGGCTCCAGCGCGTCCAGACCCTGAAACGTACGAGCTCTCGTCCGGGTGCCCAAACCCACCCACAAAAAACACAAGGACCCCCCCTGCCTGTAGTCTTCGTTAAACCGACGCCGGCTCGCGCCCGACCGTACCAGAGGTGTCCCACTGCGCCCTTGCC